GATTACCTTTGGGAAATTTTTTTTTACCCCCATGAAACAGATCTGTTAAAGACCTGAGGAGGTATTTTTTAGTTACTGCTGTGTTTGACTTCTGTTACTCACTACATGGTGAAATTTACTTCCAGATTTATCAGTTGATGAAAGAACACAAAGAAAAGAATTATGAGGGTAAGGAACATTTCAGGCTGAGTTACAGAAGTGCTTTATTTTATTAGGTTGTATTTATGACTTGAATTTTTAAATACTGTGTAGGTTTTGAGACTAATACTGCTTTCTGAGACTATCATATAGGCAAGATTACCTTATGACCAGGGCTTGTTGGCACTCTGGTAACTAAGGCCCTACACCTTGAATTTAAAGGGAAATTGCCTTTTATACTGTGTTCCTCTCCTTAACAAAGAATGCTACTTGGGAGAGGTCAGTATTTGCCAATCATTCAGTCTTTTAAAATTATCTCTACAGTACTTCATATGCTGCTTATTTCATATGTATTTCATATGGTACTGCTTTTTAAATCTGTTTTCCAGTTGTTGATTGCTTTCATAGAAATGCAATTTATTTTTTATATATTGAACTTGTATCCTGTAACCTTGCTAAAACTCATGTACTAGTTCTAATAGGTTCTTTTTTTTGTAGATTACTTTGGATTTTCCACCTATATAGTCATATGGCCTGCAGAAAAAACTAGTTTCACTTCTTTATTTCCAATCTGAATACCTTTTAATTTTTTTCTTGATTTTTTTTTTTTTTTTTTTTGGTACTAACAAGGCTTCTAGTATAAACACTGAATAGATAATGTGAGAGTGAACATCCTTGTTTTGTTCTTGATTGTAGGAGTAAGAATTATGGCCATGTAAGAATTATGTTACAGATTTTTCATAGAAGTCCCTTGTCAGAATGAAGTTTTTTCCTATTGCTTATTTAATGAGTTTTAAAAAATATATCATAAATGCATGTTATGTTTTATTAGGTACTTTTTCTATATCTTTTGAGGTGATCATATGATTTATATATTTTATTGACATGGTGAATTACATAGTTGGTTTTTGAAAGTTAAACCAACCTTAAATTCATGGGATGAACTAGTCATTGTGTATTAACTTTTGAAGGATTTTGTGACTGTGTTGATGAGAGACATTTCCTGTATTTTCCTTTGCTTGTAAAATGCCTTTGACTGGTAACATCATTAATGAAAAGAGTTTGGAAAGATGCCCTTCTGCTTCCTGAAGGAGTTTTGTGTAGAGCTAGTATTATTCCATAACTGTTTAATAGAATTCAGCAGTGATGCCATCTGGGCCTTTGGTTATATTTTGGGAAGATTTTAGATTATAAATTAAATTTCTTTAATTGGCGTAGAACTGTTCACATTTTTGTAATTTATCTTTTAAGACATTTGTTCATTTCTTTGAGTTGTTGAATTTACTAGCATAATGTTTGTTCATAATACTCTTTTACCATTCTTTTGATGTCTGTAGGATCTGTCCTGGTGCCCCCTGGTTGCTCCTGATGCTAGTAATTTGTGTTTTCTGTCTGCCAGCCTAGTGATACAGTTTTATTGGGTTTTTCATGTAACCAGCTTTTGATTTTGTGGTTTTCTCAATTGATTGTCTTTTTTGTCATCATTGGTTTCCTCATTTATCTTTACTTTTCCCTTTCGTCTTATATTTGGTGGTATTGGCCTAGACATAGATAAATGGGTCACATTACAGAGTCCTGAAATGGACCCCTACACAGATCTCAATTGGTTTTTGAGAAGGGTTCAAAGTTAAATCAAGGATGGAGAGCATAGTATTTAAAGAAACTATATGATAATAACAAGGTATTGGTATTGAAGAAAATGAGTTTAAACCCTTATCCCACATGGAGCAAAAAGAAAAACTATCTCAAATGAATCCTAGATTTAAATTTAAGAACCCAAATGGTAGAATTTCTTGAAGAAAAAGTAGAAAATCTTTGCAACCTTAGACTAGTCAGAGATTTTCAGATAGGACATAAGAAAGCATAAGCAAACAAAACCCTGTTAAGTTGGGCTTCATCAAAATGTGAACTTCTGTTCTTTGAAAGATACTGTTAAGAAAACAAAGCAAGCTACATGTTTGCAAAACTTACATCTGACAATTACTTACATCCAGAATACACAAACAACCCTTACAACTTTATAGCAAGACACATAGTACAGTTTTAAAAAATGAGTAAAACATCACAAAATGATGTTTGAATAAGCAGTAGCACAGTTGAAACAGTGTTCAAAAATACTAGTCACTGCTGAAATTAAAATTAAATCGCAGTGAGCTAATACCTCACAGCCACTAGCAGGGCTGAAGTATAAAAGAGTGACCATGCTAAATGTGGAATGGGCAATACACCAACCAGTACCTGAGTTTTAGCAAGGTTGCCGGATACAAGTTCAATATATAATTGAATTCTCAGATGTTGCTGGTGGAGATATAAAATGACACAATCCCTTTGGAAAACAGTGTAGAAGTATCTTAAAAAGTAAAATCTACAGTTTCCATATGAAGTAGTAATCCTCCTCCTAAAACTTTACACAGGAGAAATGGAAACATATGTCCACACAAAGACTTGTACAAGAATGTTCGTAAAAGCTTTATTCACAATAGCCCCAAACTGGAAGTTACTCATGATCCAGCAACAGGTGAATATATAAGTATATTGTAGTATACTACTCAGGAATAAAAAGTAATGAACTACCAATGCACACAACAACATAAAAAGATTATGTTGAGTGAAAGAATTTGGACCCAAGGGTCCATGTTATACGACACTTTTCATATGAAACTGTATAAAAAAAATCAGATTTAATGTATCCTGACAGAAAGCAGATAAGTGGCTGTTTTGAGGCCAGGGGAGGGGAGGATAGCTGGCAAGGGGCATAAGGGAACTTTTTGGAGTGTTGGAAATAGTTGTTGATTGTGGTGGTACTTAGGTGTACATTGTTAACATTTTTCAAACCGTACCCTTACAAAGGATGTATTTTATTATGTGTAAAGTATACTTCAATGAAAAGAGTTTCTTTTTTTAGTGTTTATCAACTTTAGTGCTGTATTTCAGAATCATCTGCTAAGCTTTTTAAAATGCGTGTTCTTTTAGCTCATGTCATACTCAAGGAATCAGTCACTCATTTGAGGCATTTAAAAGTTTCAGAGGTGATTCTGACTCTCAGTGGGAGTTCAGAAATATGTATATTTTTTTCTTTGCATGACTCTTTATTCTTGAGGGTCCCAGGATCTAATATGGTCAAGTTGTATATATAAAATATATTACTCATCTTTCTCATGTTATTCACATCCCCACTTTTTTTTTAAATGGCTTTAAAAAGACCTTGAGTCTATTTATTTTGAAAGTTTTCTGCTTTTAATAGCATATGCGTACATTGTTATGATAGAAAATTGAAGCAGAAGAGAAAAATTTGCCATTATGCTGCAGTTTGAGTATATGAAATGAGAAGGTAGAATGTCCTGTCTAATCCTCCAATCTCATAACCCTAATTACTAACAATGTGATGCATTTTCTTTTGGATATCTTTGTTTCCTTGTAGGAAAGGGACACATATCTAGTATGATGTGTTTTCAAATGTTCATTTTTCTATTTAAGTAGTCTGTGTTCAGTGCCTGCTCTGTGGCTGCCATTATACTTGGTCCTGAGGATAATGAGCCAAGTGACATCTCCTGTCCTGTAATCTGCCGTCTGGTGGGAGGATAGATAAAGACTAGATAATAACTACACATACACACACACACACACATACACACACACACTGTAGCAAGTGTTACAGAAGACAGTTGTGGAATGAGATTAAATAGTAGAAATTAAAACCATTCCTGTCCTGTTCACGCTAGTTCAGAGCCATGCTTTGAAAAGTTTGCTTTTTTTTTTTTTAAGATTTTATTTATTTGTCAGAGAGAGAGAGGGAGAGAGAGCGAGTGCAGGCAGACAGAATGGCAGGCAGAGGCAGAGGGAGAAGCAGGCTCCCTGCTGAGCAAGGAGCCCGATGCGGGACTCGATCCCAGGACGCTGGGATCATGACCTGAGCCGAAGGCAGCTGCTCAACCAACTGAGCCACCCAGGCGTCCCGAAAAGTTTGCTTTTTCAAAAGCATTCAGTACTGCTTAGGTAGTATGATGATGACTCATTTGGATAAAACATCTTACACATTTATAATTAAAGTACTATTTTTTCCTCTTATTGTTAGAGTTTTTGTATTATTTTAAAATAGTAAGGAATCTTAAACATTTAACTTCAGTGACAAAAAAATTGGAAAAAAATTTCACTTAGCAAATATAAGTACCTTTTCGAGTCTTCCTCTGTGATTCTCACTCAGTTAGATGCTGTGCAACATTTTGTTACTAAAACAGCAGTAGTGATTTGAAAATGGCAGTTTGTTCTAGCAGCTTTTTTTTGGTGGTGGCAGAGGGGTTATTAATGTTGGGATAGGTCAAATACAAGTGTTTTAAAGAATATATTACATAAAATCTAATTGCATTTAATATTAATGGAGAGTATATAGGATGGATGTTTTGTGCTCGTATAAGCTCAGGAGTTTCAGAGTTAAATGAAGTGAATCATTTTTATCTCTGGGGTTTTTCTTTAACCTTTAATATGTTATATCCTGGGTCTTCAGGATGGAGCTCTGGTACACAGTGACTCTGTATTTGATCATGGAACCCTTTCTGACTTGCTTTATACTTCTGTGGATAGATATCTAAAGAGAGCAATGAGTGCCCAGTGGAATCTTAAAAAAACCAACCAAACAAAAAGACCCCCAAAAATGTAGTGGCATATTTTAAAGATGCACAATAATTTTAATGTTAAGAACATTGTTTAACTGGACATGATTTGTTGCTTTTAAGTGCTAGATAGTTTAAGTTTATATACTGAACTTTGGGAATTAATGTATATGTAACAAAAGGGTCAGTTCTCCATTCTTGAATCCTTAACTGGGAGAGGAAAGTGAAATTGATGTTTCTCTTATATTTCAGAACAAAGTAGAAGAGATGACTTAGAAGCTTTAGGTCATATGTTCATGTATTTTCTGAGAGGCAGTCTTCCTTGGCAAGGTTTAAAGGTAATTGTTTTTGTGTTTCCTTTCGAATTTTATAAATTGTTAATATGTCAGGGGTCTGTCTTCCAAGTAGTTAATTTTAACATCACCAGCTTCTCAGGACTTTTTTCCTTTCTGTTTTAGGCTGACACATTAAAAGAGAGGTATCAGAAAATTGGAGATACAAAACGAGCCACACCAATAGAAGTGTTATGTGAAAATTTTCCAGGTAATGAGTAACATGTGCTTATACACAGAAAACCACAGCAGTTAACTTCCATTGCTCAAGTTTGTAATGACTGGTTTTCATGCTTAGAAGAAACGAATTCAAAGTATGATTTAAAAGATGTCAGCCTTTGATGTATAGACCACAGGGACAGTTTGTATATTTGCTCTGTTAAGATGGAATTAATAGAAGAAAATCCCATTTTTTGATAGTGTTGAGAGTGATATCAGCTAAAATATCCGTGACATACTTCTAATAAGTTAAAATACTTGCTGAGCAATGCGGCTGTAAAGTTTTGGTGCGTACTGTTAGTTACTTGAGTCTCATTGTCAGACTCAAAGGAGGTGTGTGATACATGATTTAGTTTTCAAAGTACATTAAGATCTTACAAACCTTAGTACTGGCAAGCTAATGTTACGTTGGGGAGCTTTATAAAAATAGTTTTACTTCCATGCAGAGTTTTGGCAACTCAGATTAAGCCAACAAAAATTTTCTTGATTCCTAAATCAGTTAAGGAGTAAGAATAATGTGTTGCTAATGTCGGTAAGTAAAAAGTGAACCAATCTGGAAGGTCCAAGACTGAGATCATGCCTCACTTCAATATTCACGTGTCCTCCTGTCCAATGCTGGCATCAGTGCTGGAGTATTAGCAAGCAGTGTGATCTCAGGGAGCCCTTCGAGTTTGCTTTCGTTATTCGGGGACAACAAACTTTAATTGCATATTTTTCGTCTTTGCTCTAACATCTAGAACCAGAAATTAAAAAAGATTTTGGTTCACACTAGCAGTGTAGGTAAAGGCAGACTGGCTCTGTGTTATTATGAAGCGTATACAGATTTCTGCCGGATAGAATGGGGGTGTCAGAGTCACTTAGCCAGGTAATTAGCTAGAATGTAGAATAGTGAGAGTCACCCTGTGAGGAAGGTCATTGGGTGCCATTCTCATTGCCCGTTGGGCTGTGCATGATTCTGTTCTCACTGGCCACTGTCAGTGAATTGAATCAGAAAAACACCCGAGAGTAACCTTCCATCTCTCACTACAGTGATTTTTTGTGTCCTGTTGGTAAAACCCTATTTTACTGATTGCTCACCATTTTGTCTATTGATTTTTATGGCTTTTTCTTTATTTTCCTTTGGGAAAGTGGGCTCTTTAAGAAAAATACTTCCCTCTAATACATTTGGGAATTACAGTGGCACAGAGAAATTTATATATTATCAAATGATTGTTGTATGACCAGAAATTAAATGAAAAATTAAACTCTGCTGCGGTTTTATTTCAGAGATCACTTAGCTTTGTTTGGTTAGCATTCCGCTCATGGCCCACGTTAGGAATTTGAATCCTCTGTTGGTCAGTTAGTTGAATGTGCCTGATGGTAGAAGAAATCCATCATGCTAGTGTGGATGCTTTCATATATAAATCAATTCCCATCAGTATTTTAAAGGAATTTTTGAGTTTATGAGTAGAGTGTGGTGCTTGTGTTTAAGTAATTATGTGTTAAGTTACTAATTCAATTTTTAGTACTATCCAAGGTTTTTACTCAAAATAACAATGTAAAATAATTTTAGCTTTTCCAATGAAATGAAGCAGAGGAATTTGTTAAGTAAAACCTCCTTTGACCTTTGACCCTATATTTTTCTTCCCTTCTCTTCTCCTTTTTAATTTCATTGTGATTAAATTCCTTAAATTTTAAATTTTAGTAGAATTTTGTTACTTTTTCATATTTTTGTAACACTGTTTTTTGACTTTAAATAATTTTATTATTAATGAATATATAGGAAAGTATAATCAGAATAATTTTTATTTCTTTCTAGAAGAAATGGCAACATATCTTCGTTATGTAAGAAGGCTAGATTTTTTTGAAAAACCAGACTATGACTACCTAAGAAAGCTTTTTACTGACTTGTTTGATCGAAAAGGATATATGTTTGATTATGAGTATGACTGGATTGGTAAACAATTGGTGAGTACTCTGTGCTATATAATGAAAGATTATTTGTAGTAACTTTTTCCCCACAGTACAGCTTCTTCAGTGAAAAGAGTTGAGTACAAATAACTTTTTTAGAAGATTTTATTTATTTATTTAACAGAGAGAGAGAGAGAGAGAGAGAGAGAGAGATCACAAGTAGGCAGAGAGGCAGGCGGGGGGGGGTGGGGGGAAGCAGGCTCCCCGCTGAGCAGAGAGCCAGATGTGGGGCTCCATCCCAGGACTCTGAGATCAAGACCTGAGCCGAAGGCAGAGGCTTAACCCACTGAGCCACCCAGGAGCCCGCAAATAATTTTTTTAAAGGATTCATTTTATTTCATCTTCCTGGGCATTTTAGGCAGCATAAAACTAAAATTATTCTTTGAATTTTATAGAAACCCCATATTTGGACTCCTTGCTTTTTAAAGTAATGAGTTACTTTCAACTTTTCATTCCTGATTTATTTCTTACTGTCGAGTGTAAATTTTTTTTTTTTTTTGGATAATATCCTGTTATTTTAAAAGATCAGTTTGTCTTGTGTTTTGTTTATTTCAGCCATTTCTCAAAACATTTGTAATTCTAAATTATAGGTTTTAATTATACTAGCAGTTTTACTTAGCTTATATCTTAAGTAGACTGGTACTTAAAAATTAGAGCACGTTTTGGGTTTTCAAAACTGTTCTAAGTTTTTGTAACTTAAAAAAAAATTAGTCTTAACTGTAACTGTAGGATTGGTACTCATCACTTAAAGGGACACATCATGAAATTCTTTCTTTGAAGGGACAACTTTTAAAATGTTTATTCTCACTAGTTTTTGTTTTGTTTTGTTTTGTTTTTGTTTTTGTTTTTTTTTTTTTTTTGATAAGTAAGAATGTCTTACAAAACTTTAATCGTGGCTTGCTGTTGGCCAATTTTTGTCCATATTTGGAACTACCAAACTCTCAGATTCAGGTATTTTTGAACAATTGGCTTATTTAAGTGTTTAATCTACATTTTTCTTAGATCCAAAGTTGAATTCACTATGTAAGTCTCACCTGGGTCAAAATATTGACGACAAACCATTTTATTACCTTATTTTGAAAATAATTTTCTTATTTTCTTAAAATGATTTGTTCTGTTTATGCTTTGGCTTTGAAAATGGGAGACATACATGAATATACTTTTATTCTTCTGATATAAAAAAGTAACCTGAAAGTAAAGACAGCATTAGAAAGCCTTTAAACATTTTTGAAAATAGTGTAAAAAGTAGCTATGTTCTCTTGTTTTAATTTCTTATTTTTAGTGACGTATTTCGAGAATGATCCCATTTTGTAAGACTTTACTTTAGGTGTCTTTTATTATTTCTTTGATTCCACGAAGCAACTCAATAATTATGAGTAAGACTTCTGCAATAGTCTTACTATTGATGCTCATTCTGTATTGTAGCCAACTCCAGTGGGTGCGGTTCAGCAAGATCCTGCTCTGTCATCAAACAGAGAAGCACATCAGCACAGAGATAAAATGCAACAATCCAAAAACCAGGTTTGCTGCTCTTTCAGATATGAAATATCTTGATTTGCTTCTGTATTACCTTTTGACAGCGTAAAAATAAATTTGGTTTTTTACCATGCCCAGATGATAGCCTTATAGGTGTGCCCATGTGGATGTGTGTATGTGAGCAGATATCCACACATATAGATACATATTGAAGGATTGAAATACATCTTTTTTCCTTCAGTAGATGAAGATGATATACACATGCATAATAAGGATTGAAAATACACAGATTTGCAACAAATGAACTGTTTCCCCTCAGGTTCACTCTTCACTAGTTTAAAATCACATGAAATGTTTAATGATAAATTTTTAATTAGTGGTATAAATTAGTATAACAGCAATATTTGATACTCTATGAGAGTGGAAGTGTTTGAATATCTTGTTGGAGTAAATTATGATAGCAATTGATCTTTCTAACTGCAGTCTAAATTAGCTCAGTAAATTATTTGTTGAGTTTCTCCTATTTGAAAGCTACTATTCTGCATATTGCAGAAATGCACAAGGAAGGAAAACAACATAACCTATAGGAAATTATTTTGTAATGAGTGGTTAAGAGCTCGCTCATTCTCTGGAATCAGACACACCTGGGTATAACTTGATCTTCGACAAGTTACTCCATCTTTCAAAGCCTTAGTTCTCTCATCTGTGAAACAGAAAAATGCTTGTTAATTCCTATAAGCATTCAGTAAATCTCAGGTCTCATGGCTGGTGTTACTGTTAGGATTATTACAGTAAACTCACAAGTAACTGTATTACCAAACAGTGTAACCTCTGTCACATGGAACATATTAGTAAACTGCCATGAAGGTCATTGGAGTATGGGGATCTGTAAAGATTGTATGCAGAAGGTGGCTTTTGAGATGAGCCTGAAGAATGAATGGAGTTTTTTAAAGGTGGATGAAAGAAAAAGGGCATTTGGGGGAGAGTGAACAGTGTAAAATAGGAAGGAGAAGTTTAAAAATGTAGTTTGTTTGAGGAATAGTGAGCATTTTAGTTTGCATTGAGCAGAGACTAGGTTCCAGGCAAGCCTAGCAGATAAATAGAGAGTGAAGAGTTTGTATTTCTTGGATAAGGTAATTGAAAGCTGTTGAAATTTTTGAGTGGTGTTCTCGCTTTTCTCTTTTTTGTAAAAAGAAGCTTGATTTAATCCATCTTTGACATAAAACATTTTGCTAATTGGGAGTTAAATGGTGTCTTTGGAATTTTCAGTTTTAACTCTTTCTGGGGAAGGATAATGTGCCAACTTTTCTTACTCTTACATCTTTTATTCCACTGGAATTCAAGTGAGTTAATAAACGAGATAAAAATCAAAGGAAAGAACACAACACAATAAAAATCATAGCAAAATAAAATGCTCCATTTAGGGGATGTTTAACAATATTATGCTTTAAAGTACAGCCAATTAAAACAGAGTAGTTTTAGAATTTTGCCTTAGAAAAATTGGGACAATAAAGGATCTTAAATACAAATTTCTTCAGATATAAATTAGTATCAGTTGATAGTTTGAATACTCTGGAAAGATCCGCATATAGAAAGAAATGGCTCCAAGTGAAGACTTGGAGTTTGTGTTTTATAAATCAGAATTAATTTCTCAATTGGATGATGATCAATAATTCATGTTCTTTGGAGATGTCCTCTTGAGCTGTTAGGTATTGTAATAAGTGAAACTCTTCTCTTAATTTTGAGTTCAGTTATAATTCAGATGTCTTCAAGTTGAGCTTCCTGTGTGTTTTGACTTGTCTTCCTAGCTAGATGGTGAGCTAAGTTGAGGCGGGAACCATGTTTTATTTATGTAGTCCTTGTTGCACTAAATGTAGGGAGTCGATTTTTGTTTTTCATTGTGTGTTTTTTTCAGGAAACCTTGTAGGGTAGCTTACGTATTAAATCTGAGACCTGGATATGTGCACTGTCATCATAATAGAAAAGTTGTGTATCTTAACTTTTCGTAAACATCATTGAAGCAGTAAACATTTCAGGTGTGTGAGAAACTAAAAATTGACAATCGCAAAAGAACATTTAGTTAAATGACTGAAATGTTGCAGTGTCCCCAGTTAAACAGTTTTTACTGTACAGCTGGTGGTTGAAGTTCAGAATCTCCTGACATTTCAGAGAAGGAGTTAGATGCATGTAACTTTTGTTTCTGAAGAGAGGCTGGAGAGCTGTTCCTGTCTTCTTAAAGAGGTCCATGACCCTTATATGTTACCTGTTGTTCTAGGCAGTATTTAGGTGTTCGTCTCCATTTTAGCATCATTTTCATCCTTTCATCCTCTTCAGATTTAATCTCTTCGAATTTACCTTAGTTTAAGCTACACAGCTGCTAAATTCTGGTTTTGAACACGGAGGGTTTAACAAAAAGACCTAGAACTGTTGTGAGTGCTTTGATGATAGACCTCATGCCTCTTCAGACTTCTGGTGTAATTTTGCATTGTACAGTTTAATTTGGGAGGCTTAGTGCCAGAACATTTATTCACTGTGCCTATTTGGACTTAACATCTCTTCTCCCATAGGCCTGCTCTGGCTACTGATGGGCTCAGGCTCCTGAGGGGCCAGTATACTTGGCACTTTGTGGCAAGTTTTTTTTGGCAAGTTTTTCATGACTTAGGTTGAAAAAGAAAGAAAAGAGCACCAAAGACTATAAACATATGTCATTGTTTTAATGAGCCACTAGTTAGTACTACTGGCAGAGCAGTTGGCTCTTGAGTTAGAATCCCTGCTGTACTTCTTGCAGTGTCTTTGACCTTAGTCAAGTGTTTAAAATCTCAGTCTCTTTATCATTGGAGTGAGGATGATACTGTCTATCTCATAGTGGGATAACACATGCAAAGCAGCAAATGCAGAACCGAACATGTAAAAGAATCTTAAATATTGTATTCCTTCCCGATCTTTTTATTAGTGCTGTCCACAAAAACTGACCCCTGTTAAGCAGCTACTGCTAATTCTGCCGGTAGATTATTTTTTGTGGTTATTGTCATGCCAGTTTGCCAAGTCATGTAAAAGCATCAAGAATTATCAGCCTATCATGGGAATGGGTTCCTTAATTTGAACCAGATAAAAAGAGGTCAGGGAAGCAAAGGGATTCATATAAAGTAGGATTATCACTTAATAAAAAAAAAATTCCTTGTCATATCCTCATAGTGTTCTATATAACACTTGTCACTTCTTAAAGAACTCTTCTGTTTTCTCATATTAACCTCTCAATCAGAAGCACGGTACTAAGCAAGAGAGGAAAGTTTTCTAGGATCTAAGTACAGCTGTTTAAAGACTTTTTTTTTTTTTTAAAACCTTTGCTAGAAGTAGTTCCTCATCAGAAAACCAAGGGGGACATCTACCGTAAGATAATATACTGGATGGCATTTTAGTACTTTGGTGATTTATTTGGAATGCTTTCCTGGGCACTTCATTTTTACCTCCCTGGTTCTTTGTTAACTTCATTTATAAAATTGGAGGCTGGATCATATCATATCTAAAGCCCTTTCACTTCTCAATTCTATGGTTCTGTTTTATTTCTGTGGTTGATCATGACCTATGGTATCCATGTGACGAAAACCTCTCCACATCCAGTATGCAAAGTTAACTGCATCTGTGACTCAGAATAGCAAGGATATTTTAAATTTCCTTTATACGTTTATTTTCTATATTATAAGGATGAGATGTTTAACATATTGGGTTTTTCTTCTTCCATGCATGCCACATGCATTAAATAAATGGCAGTCGGCAGACCACAGGGCAGCTTGGGACTCCCAGCAGGCAAATCCCCACCATTTGAGAGCTCACCTTGCAGCAGACAGACATGGTGGCTCGGTACAGGTATTTTCTGATTTTTGCATGAGTGATTATTTCCCAGATTTATACAACTAACCCTTTTTTGGAACTCATGGCATGACTTCATATCCTACTGAAAAACTTGTTGCTGAACTCTCCATAATTCTCTTCCTTTGTATTTAACCAAAAAGCAAAATTAACATGGTCTGGAAAGACCACCAGGGATACTACGATTTTGCCTTTGTTCATTTTTGCAAGTACACAGAACAATATTAAAGTAAGTCATACAACAGGTTAGAGAAATAAACTGTATTACTTGAAATACGTGTTAAACTTGATTTTTCAGTAATAAGATCAGACTTTTTTTTTTTTAAATGTCGTAAGCAGTAGAACACCTTTATAACTTTGCCTTTTCATTGATTTTTTTTTTTCCTTCTTTATACTTCGGTCAGTTGAATAGATAGGACATTTTTTATCTTTAGTACTCAGAATATACTTTCTGATTAATTGGTCAAATGAACATGACCCCAGCTGTTACAATGGTATATTTTGTTTCTAGAAAATCAGATGGAGAAAATAATTTCAAGAAGAAGTATTTATTAAATACTCCCCTCAATTTTCTGGATATTTCTAAAAATTTAAGGCCGTCCTTTATTTTTTTGAAGTGTTCATTCCCCCCCTTCTCTGTACCCTTAGAATACCTTATCTTGCCCTCCCATGCCCCCTCAATTTTCGTCTTTTATGTGAATTGTAGAAAGGGGAAGGTTACCAAGTCTTTTATTTCTTTTAAAATGCTAGCTTAAGGTAATTTAAATGCCGGTTCAAAGTAATTGAGATAATAAATGTTATCTCCATCCATTTCAATTTAGAACTTCCTTTAAAAATTTTGATTTTTTTCTCCACATATTTCCACTTGAATAATTTTCCATTATGCTTTACCAAATTTGCATTTTTCTTAGTGAATATGTATATATAGTCTATTGGATCTCTGCTCTGGATTTTATTCTTTCTTGATTTGAATTCTAAAAGTCAGTTCTTGATTAAATCTTGTAAGTTCTTATGTTTTTCTCACCATTAACTTTTAGAGGTAATTTAAGTATGTAACCAAATATTTTTATAGAACTTTGTAGTCTGTGGACCTTTCAGTCCTGTGTAACAGAGGTATTTGAAGAGGACTTAGAGGCAAGGGTGCCTGAGTTGTAAACATTTTTTATGACCCCAATTCACATCCTTGGAAAAAGTTAATAGAACAAATTATATTTGGCTCCATAACACAAACTGGATGGTATGTGTGTCTGTACACGTTTACACGTTTCTAAGTGTTTGTATGTTACGACAGCAGGCGTCTGGCTCAGTGTCAGGGATATCTGCAACAGTTATGAAAGTATTAGAAAGCTTTCCGGCCATTTCTGCACCATTACCACAAATGTGTTGTTTTCTTAGTTTCTTCTTACCCTGTGGGATTCCCCGAGGTGGTTCATGGGATCTCCAGACTATCAAGGGGTGATTATTGACTCATCAGTCTAGTACTGTATGTTCTGTTTTTTCATATGTTCCTCGAGAGACATTTCCACTCTACTCCTTTCTCACCGTCCCTTTAAAGCTTCTCTGCCTATGGAGACTACACCTGGCTTCCTCCTAATATTCAGGATGTGATCAGTTTTACTTACTAGAATTTTAGTAATACATAAGTAAAGCAAAGAATTTTACACTATTTCTATTGACTTCCTGAATATATTTTACACCATTAACTAACCTGACATGATGGACATTAAGCAAGCTTAACTCCTGTGAAAAATGTACCGACAGCCTAAGTAGGCTCATGCCTGAATCTTGTTCTGTCCTAAAATACTGACTTCATTTATGCTTAGTATCTTATGCATGTAAAAAGTTTGAAAAGTTACAATATGCCACTTGTATAGTTGGGCTAATAAAATTGTAATTTAAAACTAGTAATATGAAGAGGAAAGAAAAGTGCCTAAAATCTAAGCTAATGTGATCATTATAATAAATGAATACTACATTTGATTCTGAACAAAGAAGTGAAACAATGTATTCAGTCATTCTCATTCTGATAAAGGGAAGAGAGAAAGAGAAAAATCTTTTTATTAATACAAAAGTGTGAGACTAATTTGCCTTGAGATTCTTTCCGCGATGATCATTACACTCCCTGTTGGACAATTTCCAGTGTTGACTTTGTAGGAGATGCAGAGACTTTATATGGCAATTAAAAAACTAGCCTTCAGCAAATACTAAGGTCCTGTCATCATATAGTTTCTTAGAAAAGGCGTTACCATAATAAGTTGATAGCTATCTGGTAAGAAATAAATATGGTGCAGATTTAGGATATTTGGAAACAGAATCAGGAGTTAGCCCAAATAAGCCCATTGGGGCCCATGGCATTCATCCCTCATCTGTCACTGCAGTGTTTTCCTGGAGCTCAGAATGGCTCTCAGTGCAGCCCCACAAAGCATTCCGGGCTGCTTCCAGTTGACCTACAAGATGAAACCTCTTGCTATTTTGACTTACAGAAGCATCCTAGGATATTCGTTATTTCAGGTGTGCTTTTAATAGGAACTGAATGGTGGAGTCTAAATTTGAACTCCTTGTTTTTCCAGAATTACAATATGTATTTTTTTTTTAAAGATTTTATTTATTTGACAGAGAGAGACACAGTGAGAGAGGGAACACAAGCAGCAGGAATGGGAGAGGGAGAAGCAGACTTCCCGCCGAGCAGGGAGCCCAATGCAGGGCTTGAACCCGGGACCCTGGGATCATGACCTGAGCTGAACGCAGACGCTTAACGACTGAGCCACTCAGGCACTCCCAGAAGTACAGTATGTTATTACAGGTCACACATCTGGTTTGCCAGGTTAATTTCATTGCATTTAAGAGTGCAAGCCCTAGAGTCAAATTCAAGTTTAAAATCTATGCCATAGATTATTCATCAGTAAAATGGAAACTTTTTTTTCAGATTTTTAAAGATTATTTATTTATTTGAGAGGGAGAGGGAGAACGAGCAGTGAGTGCGAGAATATGAGGGACAGAGGGAAAAGCAGGCTTTCTGCTGAGCAGGGAAGCTGTTGCGGGGCTCAATCACAGGACCCTGGGCTCATGACCTGAGCTGAAGGCAGACACCTAACGGACCGAGCTACCCAGATGCCCCAGCAAATGGAAATATAATAATACTTCTACCTCATGGTTTTGTCATGAGAATAGCATAGAAGGTGGGCCTTTTGAAATACTAAATACTAGAATAATCTATTGCTTTTTCAGATTAAGAAACTTGATTAATCTCTGGGAAGTGAAGTCTAGTGGTACAGCCCAAAGGAAGTATTGCCAAATTGGAATTTATCCAATTTTATTCTATATCTTTAGTGTAATCATGTTAATCCACTGACCTGAAGGATCCAGCTACACGTTTGATAAACTTTTCCCACAGAAGAGATTAAAAATTATATTCAAATACCTGAAGACTAAATTTGAATTTGTTCTTGGCTTATATGTGTTTTGGAAAAGCACCTGGGCAATCAGGCATATTCCTCTCTGCTCCTTGGTAATAAAATTACCTTTAGCATCCTTGGTAATAAATATGGCTAAGAATCTTAGACCTAGCACTTTCAGTTTCTGGGCCAGTCGTTATTTAGCAGATATATATATATGTGTTTCCAGGAGGTACTAGGCATTGTACTGGAGTCTTTGAATAGAAGGAAGAATAACAAAGATAGGGTGCCTTTCCCATGGAGCGTCCAGCCAATGGGGAAAGTCAGTGAAACAGGCAGAGTGGTAAGCGGAGGACGTATAGTGCGCTATGAGAACATATAGAGAAGCACCTAACTTGGATTTCACGGGTTAAGATTTCCTGGAAAAAGCAAAAACCTTTCTGTATTCTGTTTTTCACCTGTTTCTAAAGTAGAGCTTCAGTAGGAGGAGTTAGCAGATGGAAAGGGTCTAGAGAGGACCGTCCCAGACAAGAAGGCAGCACACGTAAGGTGGCGGACGAGAGAGAGAGAGACGTTTTGAGCAATCGGCTGCAGTCCAGTCGCGCCAGTGTGTATATTGAGAAAGAGGACCGAGAGGTGGGCAGGAGGCAAGTCATGAAGAACCTAACAGGTCTTGTTATTACGTTTGGACTTCATTTGAGGGTGTTGGGTAGCCGTAACGAGAATTAGATAAGGAAGGTAACTCTATTAGTGTGTCTATTAGTGTGTTTTCTAGGGATGTTTTCTAGGGAAAACAAGTCTAAGGCAGGGACACAGCTCTCAGAATTCTAGCTGAGGGAAAGGGATAGGTAGCCGAAATGAAAAGAAATGAGAGGATTTGCAAGATAATTAGAAGGCAGATTTTAGTTTGGTGTCAGGGCTGAGAGGGAAGGTCATGTCACTTATCTGCCTTTTTGATGTGTCTCTGCCTTGCAAACCAGAATCTCCAAAATGAGGTTTTACAACTGACGGCAGGTAGTGTTCATCTCGAATCCCACGGGGACTGTGCCTTTGCTGGAGCATGGCTCCTTTGACCTCAAGGTCGACTGGAAGCCCGGTCCTGGAAAGTAGAGAGGCAGTTTCGAGCACAGGGAGGAACACAGATGTCGAGGGCGCTACTGAAGACTGCTTCACGTGCACTGGTGTAGTGCCAGTTGTTGGGGAATCTTGGCTGGTCGTACAGCCTTTGGTTGTGGTTAAAGGAACACTGTTGCATCTGAGCCCCTGAAAGGGAAAAGGGCCGACTCCACACAGTGCTGCTGTGCCTGCAAGGGATGGGTAAACGTTACCTGTTGTGCTGGGCACGCAGGGATTTTCATCAGCCTCACTTGACACATACCCATGCGGGTGAGGACAGCAGAAAAGAATGGGATGAATGCATTTCGGAATGATCAGGAGACGTGTGTAGTGACAAGTTGGGAATAGCAGGTGCCATGCCTCAGCCCTTCCTCCATTGTGCTCGTCGTCATTAATGCTTCTCTTTCTAAAACATGGCCAGTCACCACTTTACTCTGCTCTCTCACATCTTGCAGAGCACACAGGTACTAACAAAGGGTGGGGGCG